CTGTTATTCTAAAGTGAATACGATCTTAGTGTTTACGTCATATTTTATGTATGACAAACTGCTTTGCAAAGAGGCTGGATGAGAAAAAAAGCATTTCATAGATTTTATACTGTTATGTACTAATAAAAAAAGAAACCCATTTTGCTGTGGGATTCAAACAAAGGAGAGATGAGCAGTATTTAGATGTAGGAAATTTTCTTAGAAAGACTATTATTATGAATTAGTAGCTTTTATCTACTCTCCCATAACAAAATGGTCTAGCTCCATATCTTAATATTTGGATATTTCAAATAATTTAGACTAATTTTATTCCATTGTTTATGTTGAATAAAATAAAGCTACAAGATGCTGAGGGTTTTTTTTGGACTACAGGCTCCCCAGGGTAGTGGTCACAGCCCCAAGCCTGTCAGAGTTCAAGAAGCATTTGGACAACACTCTCAGGCACATGGTGGGAATTTTGGGGCCATCTTGTGCGGAGCCAGGAGTTGGACTCAGTGATCTTTGTGGATCCCTTCCAACTCAGGAAATTCTGTTATTCTATGATTCTGTGATTCTATTCAGCATAATTTCTGGTGATAAAGTGAAAAAGAGAATTTGGGATCCCTTGCAGAAAACTGCGGTCCCCTTCTTTTTTTCCCCCTTTCATCTTGTACCTCAGCACACACAGAAACTTTCTGTTAGCTATGTAAGCATTCTTTTATTCAAATACTAATTTAACTTAGTGATTGCATTGAGAATGACCTGTGCTCTGGCATTTCATCTTTTCCATTTAGCACAGGGAACTTCTTAAAATTGATTAGCTCATAGCTCCTAAATCTTTCATAGTTTTGGCATTTTTCTCTTCCCTCAGCGAGGGAGCTGCTGGTTTTAACCCATTCCATGAATTTAGGGGAGTCTGTCACCTAGCATTTCAATGTCTGTGATGTTTAATGTTTCCTGGACTGTACTTTGGCTTTTGAAAATCATCATTCCTGTGCTTTTTTTGTTACTGACGTGTAGGTGCTACGGCCGCTGAAGCAGCCTGGCAGCAGTTTGGAGGGGAGGGAGCTGGGGAGGGGAAAGGTGCAGAGAGTGTTTTTGCCAGCTCTGCCAGTTGCACGGGAGAGAGGACAGAGCTGGGAGCTTTACAACCCTGCCACCGAGCAGCCAGCTGCTCACCCACAGGCTGCTGTGCCACCCCAGACAGACAGACAGACAGACATCTCCTCAGTGTCCGTGGGGCAGTGTGGCTCAGTGAGCTGAGAGCACAATCTGTGGGGATGCAGCTGGACCTCAGCGCCTGGGGACGGTGCCTCGCAGCTGCCGATTGGGAACACTAATCCACAGTCAGCCTGTCCTTTTCCACTCTCCACTGATGGGGTGAGCACGTTATTCTCGGAAAGGATTGACCCACAACAAAGCAGCTGAACCTGTGGGCATCACATCTGGCTAGTTTCCTTGGAGAGGCTTGGGAAGTAGGTGTTGCTTTCCCAGCCCGCCCCAGGTAAGTAATCTGATTTTAAACAAAGAAGCAGAGACATGGCTGTTTTTCATTTAAAAATATGTTAAAGCAAAATAATTTTTTCTGTTGTTGTTTTGAAGGCATAAGGTTTGAATATTCTCGTGCTCTGTGCCTCCCTTGAGCTTCTGGATCTTGGGGGTGATAATGAGGGATTTAATTCTGGGCAGCAGGTGCTGGCAGCAGGGATGTGATGCAGTGCCTGTAATCGTGTTGTCGGGTTCATTTTGCACCATCTGGGTGTGAAAGGAGCAGTCAAGCCTTTAATTGCAGTCCTTGGGCATCTGGTACCTTCCTCCTGCTGCTGGAGGTGCAGACGTGGTCAAGGGAAGACTCTGTGTGTTTCTGAGGCACATAGAGAGTTAAAGCTGGGGGCAGCGATGCCACTGCCAGTGTAGCTACTGTGCTGGGGATGGGTCCCTTCTTTAATTGCAGTCCTTAGGCATCTGGTACCTTCCTCCTGCTGCTGGAGGTGCAGATGTGGTCAAGGGAAGACTCTGTGTTTCTGAGGCACATAAAGAGTTAAAGCTGGGGGCAGCAATGCCTCTGCCAGTGTAGCCACTGTGCTGGGGATGGGTCCCTGGGGAGGAGAATGAGAAGGCTGTTCCCACTTCCACTGTTCACCCATCACCTTTTTCTACCAGCTCAGGAGAAAAGGAAAGTTGGTCTTTCAGTTGTCTGGGCTTCCTGTTCTAAATGGACGTGCTTTTCTGAATTTCACATAGTCCCAGTTGAGGAGATGTAAAGCAGATGTGGTCACAGGGAATGTGACCTTTTGTTTGAGCAGGGGCCAGGCTTGTGCTGTGACTACCCTCTGGGAATAGAACCAACACCTGCTGGAGACCTGGGCAAAGTGGGAGATACCCCTAAAAGACCAATAGCTGTATCAGCTCCTTGCTATGTTTTTGTGTATGATCCAAGTGGTGGAAAAGACAAGAACACAAACTCCATGACAGCAGTGGTCACAGTCCATCACTCCAGTGTGGCAGGGCATGGCAGGAGGAGGCTCATGATCTCAGTGTGCTGCAATGGTGGGAAAACAGTGTGAGAAAGGGAGAACTATTCAATTAAGGAGTATGATTTCCAGCATTTACCTTGTGTAGTTTATCCAGACTTTTCCAGCCCTGCATTGTTGAGGTATAGTGTCTGTCTAGTGGTGTGCTAAGATGTGATGAGCATCTATGGTTTCTGCAAACTTGCTCAGAAATGTCAGTGTATGTCTCCATTGAGAAAATGTCTCCATTGAGACTGAGATTTTTGTAGTGAATATGCAAATCTGTCAGTGACAATGATGTCACTGCATTGTTTTGTTTTTGTTGGTTTTTTTTTTTAATTTAAGAGGTAAGAAAACCAAGCGGGTTCTGACTAGAGATGTTTTAAGATGTCAGTGTATTGTGCATGCCTCCAGCCATGCCTCCAGCTGGCAGCCAGCTTAGGGGTGAGGCTGGGGACCAACAAGTGATGGCACAATTCACCTGGAAACTACCACTGCCCAGGCAGGGGCTGGCACAGAAACATACCATCCCCTGCCTGTAAAGCTCCCTGTTGTAAGGTGTGCCCTGCACTGGGTACTGGTCACGGAGGGGAGCTGTGGGGTGTGCTCCTGGCTTATGGAAGCTCCACTTTGGGATGTGATAGGAGAGTCAGGGATGTGTTGGCAGCAGGGGGCTGGGAGCATGGGTGGGTGGTATGGAGGGAGGGTGGGTGTTCCGCTTGCTTTGGAAGCACCCCTGGAAATCAAATACTCGAGGAGGTAAGATTGAAACTTACATTGTTTGTCACAGATCAAAATACTAAGTGTAGGCCATCTGTGTTTCTTGGCACTTTTTAAATGGTTTGTACTAAAATGTGTACAGTACTCTGCCAGAGGAGCAGGGTATAATGTGCTAGTGAAGGACATGAGGGGTTTTTTTCCGTTGTCCCTATTTTCCATTTTACCAGGGTACAAACTGTGTCCATCACACTGAGAGTGTGGGTGAAACCAGTCCAGTGGCAGAGGGTACAGCACCAACCCTCTGTTGTCCTATGTTATGCTGACTTTGAGGCCCAGAAACTCTTTGTCTGGTTTCTCTAAATAAATGTGCACCTATTTCCATGTTGCTTCAAACATGTTTGCACTTAGAAAGGAAGAGAAAGGTAAGGAAAAGCTAATTTGAATATTTTACCTGGAAATGGTATTGCCTAATGCTTATATTTAGAAATCAAGAGTCAGTTGCCTGGAGTTTTTACTGGCTTTGGTATAACTTTCTATTGACCTCAGAGAAAGCAGTAACTTTTCTATGCTTTCAAGAGCCTTTTTCCAAGATGCATGTAATATTCTTCTTCATATCATTCACCTCGAAGGGTGTTATAAGAATTAAAGCTCATAAAGCATTCTAAGATTTGTTAATGTAAATCACCTTAGGAGTGCAAATTAAATTATGTTGCCATCTACTACTACAAATTAACCTACAGATTTAGTTATAGCTGTTCTGAGATGGATTTAGAGGATAACATAAGGGTCAAAGACATTGTATTCCAGTATTGATCTCCATGATCATCTGGACCCTGTACCTATTACTCTTTGACTATGCAGAGTGTTCTGTACTGGTGGCTGTTAAGGAGCAGTGTGGTGATATTTCAAGAGAGGAAGACAAATAATTTGTAAATGCACTGGATATCTTGAAGGTGTCTGAAACAATTAAATACTAAAGTGAGAAAAGCACAAATAAAGCTGAAATCTTCCCAGACTGGGCAGGTTCTGGATCCCACAGCTCAGAGTGATCAGTGGATACATTTTCTGCAATTATATCAGAAAACTCTTTTCGGCTCTGATGGCTCGTTGGATGGGTCAGTGGAGCCTGGGCAGACAAATACACTCACAGTTTGCATGATGAGTGCTAAATCTGAATTGTTTCTGGGGTCAGTGGGGAGTGATGTCATCTTGGTGGGGAGAACATAATTTCTCAGTGACAGCAAAGATCAGTGTTTCCCAATAGCAGGTTGTGATCTTTCCCAGCGGTGTCTTGGGATGGTTCAGGGGAGGCTGTGAAGCATTTTATACTCATGAGGGAACAGTCAGCTGCCTTTTAATTGCTGACTGCACTCAATCCTTCCAGGGCAGAGGTTTGTATATTTATATCAGCAGCCAGTAACTATAACCTATTCTTGTTCCTTTGGCCAACAGTAGTTAACTCATCCTTGGCTAATTAAAGACCAGGAAACCTGGCGGGGGGAGAGAGGATGAAAGGGGACCACACAAATAGAAGTTAGGCTGAAAGAGAGTTATGCTCTCAGAAAGTTTAAGGATTTTTGTCCCAACCAAGGTGAATGAGAGCACATTGAAAATGTGCTACTGTCTACATCCCTTCATCTTGCAACAGAAGTGCAATGTCTTCAGGAGGTTCTGAGGAGTTTTTGTGATCCCCTCCCAATCCAATGCGAAGATGAACGCTCAGGGAGGAGCTGCTGTAGTGCTGTTTCTGAAAGCTGGCTGACAGCAGTGTTGTTTTCTGATCCATAGGTCCAATGGATGGCATAGCAATAGCATCACTGTCCAGGGAGCTGGAATCCTTCCTCGCCTGCCTGCATGCTGCTTGAACTGATCCCAGGCCTTTGTTTTTGGACTGAAGAAACCTGAAAACCTTTCTCTCCTAATTCATGAGCCAGCAGGATGTGGTCGCTGTGCTTTCAGAACGCCTGCTTGTAGCCGCCTACAAAGGCCAAGTGGAGAATGTGGTGCAGCTTATCAACAGGGGTGCCAAGGTAGCAGTTACCAAGGTAACGAGAGAAAAACGCTTTGCAAAACCCTGGGAACTAATGTAACTCTTCTAGACCATTGTCTGCGAAAATGCCCTCCTAGCTTTACCAATCTGAATGTGACTGAATTTAGTGTTCAGATTTCCTTAAAGTTTGCGCTTAATAGCTCACGCAGATTTGCAATATAGTGCACGTCTTGTGTTTATACCCTTTGCAGTGGGTGCAGCTGTGATGAACGCTTAGTCCTTGCAAACACAGTGTGTTCGACAGAGGGGAGCAACATTTTTCAAAGCATGTATTGACTTTTGAACGCTGTGTGACCTGATGAATGGAGCGATTCATCAATGTCAGGGGAAGGCAGTTCAGGGCACCCATCTCCCTGGGTGAGGGGATGGGGAAAAGCCACCTCTTGTGGCAGGGTAAAGGGATGCAGAAAGTGTTTCTTGCTGCTGAAGTCTCCTGGTGCAGCAGCCTCACTTATACCCAACCTCTTTATTGATTTGTTTTGTGTGGTCCCTTAATCAGTTCCAAACTTGGGGGTTACAAATTGTGTTCCCTGTACCTTTGAGAAAAGTCAGTGTCAAAGGATTTCTCCTTAGATACAAATAAGTTCAAACTGATATTCACCTATTCCTAATGCTCAACATGTTATAAATAATACTATCTTAGAAAATATGAGATGTAATTGCCTGTTGCAGAGAAGGTTTGATCAGCAAAAAGCCTTAAAATAACTAGGTAAGTAAAATCTTAAGAACTGTAACATAAAATTTGGGGCGTACTGTTTTGATGAACTGCTGTTTGCCATCCTACCTACTTATATTTGTGTTTCCATATTGGTTTTGAACGTTACATATGTATGGAAGCTAATATTTACAGATAGAAAGCACGTTTCATGAAAAGAGGAAAAGACAGAATGCTTATCTGTCAGTGACAGTTGTTTTCAGTCCCTTCACAGTGTTTGAGTTGTAGATAATACTCATTTTGAAAGCTGGAGTGATCCAAGGACAACCTATGCTTTTAAGTTTTGTTTGCCAAAATAAAACTTGCTGGTAGATACAAAGCACAGGTGTACTAAGCATGAATTGTTCCATGTAGATGGCTGTTTGGTTCTGTTGTCCAAGCAGCTCTGTAGCTGATGAACAGCTATGAAAGGTAGTCAGTAATAGATAAGGAAATACTGACTTACACATACCTGAATGGTAGCTCAGGGTTTTGTGGTTGTGTTTTCTTTTGTTTATTTGTTTTTTGGGTTTTTTTTTAAGTTGATGAGGGATTTTTGAGGCTGCTGAGGGACCTCTACTGAATACAATAAGAAACAAATAGTGTAGATTTGACTTTGAAACACAAAATCAGGTTCATTTGATATAATGCAGATTTCCTAGAGTTGACAAGGTTTTCTTTCCTATATGACATAGGTGGCTCCCTTGCTTTGTTGTTCTGCCCTGTGTGGAAAATGAAAACAAAGCTCATTTGGCAGCACAGTTGTGGCCAGGTGCAAAGTGCTGGTGTTTCTGTGGAGACATTTGCTGGAGAGCTGTGAGCTCTGAGGCCATGCTTGCAGCTCACCAGGCACTACAGCATTGTAGCTATTCTTTCCTAGAAGTTGTGGGTCATCCCCATGGAGTCCAGAGAGGGAAGATGACAAAAGCTGTCCCTGTTGTCCTTGTGGATGCATCCCAGCACACCGACAGACAGTACAGATGAGCTGCCTGGGTAACCTGGTGACAAGCCCTGCTCAGGAGAGATGAAGTCAGATCTGCAAGACTGTGGAGGAGTGCCCACAGAGGAGCAGGGACTGTCTCAGAGCAGCAGCCAAGGCTGTGTCTATGGGGTGTTTTGGAGGCACACAGACTCTTACTCCTCCCACGCTGTCAGCCAGAGAGAGCTGAGCTCAGTGCAAGCCAAGAGGCGTGAGACCAACCTGGTGCCCTCAGCAGAGCCCATCCATTCAGCTCTGTGATGTCCTGTCCAGGTGTGCACAGCGTGGAGTTTGCATCTGGCTCTCACCCAGCCAGCCAGCTGCATAGGAAGAGCATGTGCATATTTGCCTATAAAACACTGTATAAACACACCCTGGAATAGCTTGGCTTGCTAATCTGATGACACACAAAGGCTGGAAGGAGAAAGATCTGTTTAAAGTTAAGGACAAGGTTGTCACAAGAGCAAGGATGTATAAATTAGACTCAAGTATATTGAAACTGGAAATCTGGAGGGGTTTTTTAGCAACAGGTTCTTGTGCAGTTTTCTACTAAGCAGAATAAGCACAAAATAAGAACAACTTTCAGGATAGAGGTTCTTAATTTTAGAATCGAAATTAGATGGCAGAATTTTTGTAGTGCAGTGAAATAGACCAAGCTTTCAGACAAATTGAAACCCAAAACCCTCTCCTCCCCCAAGATAAAACTCATTGCACAATGAAGCATAAAAATAAATATATCTGTGTGCCTGCCTTAGATCTGGTTTACCTGTAAGTCTTCTGCTTTCATTAGTAGTTTTCAGTTTGTTCTGCCTAATTATAAATTACAGGGGTTCATTTCCAAGAAAGAAAAAAATGGATTGGTCCTTGTCAGCCAAACTTCCTGCTGAATTCTCTGGGTTTTATTGGAAGAAGATACATGGAGACAAAGCTCTTTGGAGGGAAGGAAAAAGTTCCCCCATCACAGCAGGCTTTAACTATGTTTCTGATCTGTATCTGTAAGCACAGACCAATTGTTGTGACTAACATCGTAGAGCCACATATTAAAGTGTCCGGATCTCGAGATAAATGCTAGAGTTCTTTATTCAAAAAGGATCACTTGAGCATAGCTCAGGAAAAATGAAGGACATTTTCAGTAACAAACCAAGTACTAGTAAATACCTTATAGCTGACTTGTCCAGTTCTAGTTTTGTCCTGTATGTAAGGTCATATGATGTGGTTAATTGTTGCTTCAGTAAATAACAATTCATCTGCAAAATAGTATTTCATTTTTGTCACTTTTGAGTAGATGATTTCAGAAAAAAAGAAAAAAGAGGAAGAATATGAAAGAAAAAAAATCCAGCGGAGAATGTACATACACATGTCCAGGTGCTGACTTCAGCATTATGGTGAGGAGGCACTTGTTTCATTTTGACAGCATTACTAGCAAGGCATCTCTGCAGGTGAAGTCGGTATGGAAATGTGCACCTCCTCTGTCCTCCCTCCAGTGAGGGACACTCAGGCTTATTCCACATTTGGGGCCTTTTGAAATAGGTAAAGAGGATCTGATGGCCGCTGGGTCACACAGGTGACAGCAGTCTGACATCAGGGAGCCCAGAGTGGGAGAGGGCTGGTGGCACTGTGTGGCACATGCATTGAGCACTCGTTGTGGTGCTGGACCTCTGCCACCAGCCATGTGGGGTTGTGGCCCAGGGCAGGTGTGGTGCTCAGCTGAGGCTTTGTGGCTCTGCTCCTCTCAAAGGGCACCTACTTGGTCAGGGTGCTCTGTCGCTGCTCTGCCTGATGACAAAGAGATAATTTCCATTTTTACACCTTTTTGTCTGACATTCTTCTCAGAATGAAATGTGTAGCTGATTCCTTTATGAAAAGAGTAAAAAATACCCTGAACTGGTCATATGTACTGGCTGATCCAACAAGCAGGTGCCCTTATCAAGTACTTTGGTGAATAGGCTGCAAAAACTGGAAAACTAAGAACTTAAGGCATTTCTTCCAGCCAAGAAAGCTGGTCCCTTCTTTCAGTCCTTTTTTAGAGCTCTCTTTTAGTGAAATTATTGACAGCTGCATCTTCGGCACAAAAGCCCTGGGACTTTTGCTGAGATGATGTGCCTTGCTGTCCTCCCAGGATGTTGTTGTTCTTTTCCTGAGGGTATTGGGTTTGCATGGCCAGGTTTTGGTAGAGGGAAGGGCTGTGGGTGTGGTTTCTGTGAGAAGCTGACAAAAGCTTCCCCAGATCTGGTAGAGCCACTGCCAGGTGGCTCCAAGATGGATGTGCTGCTGGTCAAGGCTTGGCTAGTCAGGGATGGTGGTAACCCCTCTGGGATAGCATGTTTAAGAAGGAAGAAAAAAAGTTACAGAGCTGTAATTATAGCCAGGGAACAGCAGTGAGAATATGTGAGAGGAACAATGCAGACACCAAGGTCAGTGGAGGAGGGGGTGGAGGTGCTTCAAATGGTGGAGCTGAGATTCCCCTGCAGCCCATGGAGGCAGATCCGTACCAGAGTAGGTGGATGCCTGAAAGAGCATGAGAAATTTATGCTGGAGCAGGCTCCTGAATTGATCATAGCTATAAATTGAATTCTGCAGAGAATGGATTATCATTCAGAAAAAAAGCCCTAAAGAAATGCAAAAGGTAGTGTTTCTGTTTTGATTCAGTAATTGTTTGATTTAGCTTTTGAAGTAGTCATGTTATGAACACACCATATGGCAACACTTGTAATGCTGGGGTACTTTAAGTCTCAGCTTCAGAGCATGTTGAGTTCTTTAAAGCAGTCTCTCTTTTTCTTATTTTTTAAGCTAAGACAGAAACAAAAAAAAAAAAAAAGTGTTTTGGTGCTTTCACATTTTTGCACTCCTTCAGCTTGAAAAGCTATTTGTGTCTGCTTTGAACAATAAATAAAGATAAATTAAAAGGGACTAACTTAGGAACTTGCTGAATGCCTGTTGAGGTCAATGAGAAGCTTTCTGCTGACTTGAGTGAGCAGATTATTCATGGAGAACAGTCCAACAAATTATCAGTGTGAACAATGTGACAGGACTTGGATTTTGCTTTCAGGCTTTTCCAGTAAAATGCGGACAGGCATGTTTTTATGAGTGCAGAACGGATGAATAAATACAGGACTTGGATTTTGCTTTCAGGCTTTTCCAGTAAAATGTGGACAGGCATGTTTTTTATGAGTGCAGAATGGATGAATAAAGAACAGTCCTTGTGCATCACAAGAGTAGGGTGAGATGGAGAACTGAATGTACCTGCAGAAAAGTACCTACACACAGGTAAACACAAGGAAGGATCATGGAGCTTACAGTGCTAGGGCTCCCCTGTCTGGGTTTGGTTGGGGAGTGCATCCACGTTGGCAGCATTGCTGGGAGGATTCTGCTTTTATGTGGTGTGTATCGACAGCTGCCTGCCAATATCTGGAAGCTGGAGCACAGATTTACTGCAAACAAAAACCTACCCTTGCATTTTACTGCTGAAGTTTGTGTGGCTGTTTGCAGTGCTTGGCTGTGACCTGATACACCCCACAGCTACAGCAGCGTGTCACGGTGGCTGGAAGTTGCAGGCTTAGTCCAATAGGTCCCATTTATTTTGTCAATAAGTCCGTGACACAGGGCCATTTGTATGATTTGTTGCCTGATGAAGCAATTGTTTACATTTGAATAGAAGTCCAAATTGCTGGGTTTTTTTAACATATGAATGACTGCTTTATTGGTTCATTAATCCCAAGCTGTAGCAGTGTCTCATTTGTATTTGTAATACCCCCCAAAACATTACAGTTTATATTTGGCAAGGCTCACAAGGTTCTAAGTCAGTAATCTGCATGTAGAACAGTCCCTGGGTTTGGTGTTGTGTCCTTGAAGTGAGCATCTAGGAGACACTGATTTGTCTGCTTTCTTTCCCCCAGGACCGTTGTGTGTATTCAGATAAACTCCCTCTTTGCTGCTGCACTCAGTGCAGAATGTCTTTATGGAGGAGACACACAGAGGGAGTTCTGTCTGTCTGCCTTCATCTCTCTGCACCCTATATATTTTGCGTAGGATGAATTGCTGTGAGAGAAAAACTTGGTGGGCTGGTGGTTTGACTTAAAGACATGGAGGCAAGAGCAGCCCTGACTTGCTGCTGTGGCATGGACTTGCTCAGTGTTTGTCTCCAAAGCTTGCTCTGCTCCAAATTTGTCATCACAGCATGAGGGGCACCCAAATTGCCTTGTCTCTTCCTCACAGTTTGTTCTGGGTTGGGGTGTGCATGTGTATGTGCATCCATACCTATGTGTATTTGTGTAGGGATTTGATGTTTTTCCAAGTGTTTGCATTGCCTGCACTGTAACAGTGTTCAGCTGTACCACCCATCTCTGCTCTGATTTTGATGTTGCTGGGAAGAAAAAAAAAATCTGGCATTGCTGGTTCTTGCAGGGTTATGATTAATCTTGAGATGATCAGTGCTCTTCCAAAAGCCTGAGCCTCTAATCAGTGTGATATGCTGGAACTGATCTTCCTTCCCAGTCTCCTTTCCTGGTTAGTGTCATAGTTTTTGTTTACAGTGTCCCTCTAAAGTAGGAAAAACTCAAGGACTGCATGTGTACAGAAACTCTGGTTCCTGAAGGAAGCTTCTCTTTAGGGTTTTCCAGTAGGTGAGATGCCTCTCAACCTATATTTCTGGATAGAGAATCTGAAACACATGAACACTCTGGAATAAAAATGGTCCTTTAGTCTTCCAGCTCAACCATGCCAGCAGGCATAGTTCATGTGGCAATTACACATGAAGGTGTGTTTGGTGAGGAAAATATGTCCCTTGTATTCAAATAAACTCCTGTTCTGCTTTCATAGCTTACTTTTAAAACAGTATCTTTAACTGCATGTCAGCATTTTTGTAGAGCTGGTTATCTTACCAGAAAGTTTCCCTGCTGGAATATATATTCATGTTGTTGATGCTTTTCTTTTAAAGCACATGAGCTAGCTTCAAGGTGGGTTTGTTTGGGATTTTTCCTTCTCCGTGCACAGATTGCTATAAATTGTTTTCATGGTGTATTAATAACTTTACAGAAAGTGAGATAGATGCCTGGATCAGGTGATTTACTTATTGTCATTAAGGAATGTAGAAAATCTGAATGTGCTGATTCACAGCACATATTCATGATCCAAACATGGTACTGTTCATTGTTGGGAATGATTTGTCAAGTTGGTATTTTAAAAAAAAATATTTTATTCTTTTTTTTTCCTCTTTCTTTATTTCTTTTTATCCCTCTAGTGTCTGGGGATTTTATACCTCCTGCTGTTGAGTTAACTGGAACAGCAACATACCCCTGGCTCTCCTCCAGCCTTGATGGAGAAGGAAGTGTGATTGGTGCAGCTCAGTGCCCTTCCATACAGGGACAGGATTTTAGGGACTTGTGGCCAGACAGAGCCAGAGACACCCAGGAAGGAGGCTGGATGGTGCCAGGGGCAGTGGTGACAACAAAAATGAGCTTTTCCTACACCTTTAGCAGGGCAAGAATGGAAGTTTCTCTCACGAGAATGAACTGCTGCTGCCAGCAGGGAACAACATTCAGGTTTTGAGAGATCCATGTGTCATAGTGTGAGTGAGGATTTTGTCCTCAGATCTGCCCCTTTAAGTCAATAATGTAGGACAATTGATTGACACTTAGTGTTTCTGAAGTACAGCACAACTAATCAATAGTGGCACAAACATTTTGCCCTCAGCCATTCTGTTGATTCCAACAGTATTTTTCCTTTTTGCTCTGAAAAGGCCAAGTCAACAAGGCTTTACCAGGGATGTGGGTATGGGGTTTGCTGTATGAAAACAGTCTTGTCTTAAGCTTAGTTTATTACATACTTGAAGTAGTTTTCTTAGTGAAGAAGTTGCTTAAAACTTCAGAGAGCCAATGGTTGCCTTCTGTGTACTTCAAGCCACTAGTGCCACTTCTGTGTTGATGTGTTAGGGCTTTGCAGGATAAATCATTGGGTGGAAAAATAGACAACAGCACCAGTAGTGAAAATTTATAATAAATACAGGTGAAAAGTCATGTGAGTTTTAATGTGACCCTCACAAAATGCCTAGTAGAGAAAACAGCATTCTTTGGGAAGATAATTTGTGAATTTAGCAATTGCTGGAATCCTGTTTCCTTTACTGCCATTAAATAATCTGCAGTGAACAGTTTTAGTAGTGTTGTTTCATAGATCTTAAGGTGTTTCACTCACTTCGAGATTTTACTGAGATGGAGATAAAAATAAGTATTGTCTAAAAAAATCTGGCAGATCTTTAGCAAAATGAAGTTGATTGTCATACACATGAAGTCACTTGGAGTGACTACATGCCTTCCATTCCTTTTCAGGGGAGCATCTGTCATGCACAACAGCTCAGTAATTCTTATCTCTGTTGCAAAGACAGTGCCCATTACAATATATGAATTAGCCAGTTATTGCAGCTTGGCTGTACAGAGGGAAGGTGGAAGCAGTTGATAGTTCCATGCTCCAGAGGGAAATAAAAGGGTCATGAATTCCGCTTAGGCATGGACACAGAGCCAGATCTGAATTTGTAAGGAACAACCCTTTTGTGAATATGATGTCCCTTTTGTAGAGTGTCATTGGGATAAACTGAAATGTAGCAGAAGATGGAGGAGAAGTTTTCAGCTTTCATAAAACCAAGATAAAGCCTCTGTCACACTAACACATGTCAGTTGCTACAATTGCAGGTGAGGTACAGTGAGGTACAAAGAGAAGAATGAGGAAAAGGAGATAAAACTCTATTCAACTACCATGCATAATAGTTAATCTTAACGTATTATTGTTTTCTTCTCGTTCCTAGCATGGCCGGACCCCCCTGCATCTTGCTGCCTACAAGGGTCATCTCCACGTTGTCCAGGTTTTGTTGAAGGCAGGTTGTGATCTGGATATTCAGGATGATGTAAGTAGATACAACCTTCTAACTTGGGGTGGAGGGGAAAAGGTGATTTGCAAGTAACAGTAGACATTCACTTCTTTGAAGTAGGATTAAATGGAAACAAAATCTGTCTCTGTTTTCCAATTCAGAGACATATGCAAAAGTGCATGGGAAACAATGTAAAATGTAAAATGTGGTGGTTTTCAGTGAATAGCTTAGTCCTCTCGTTCAAGCTGCAGAGCTTTATAAGAGCTCTGCTTGTGCCAGGCGGATGTGAGAGTCGTCATCTGCTGCTTCTGGTAGAAATGCACTAGGAGTTCATTGTGGGAACCCGCTGGAGGACATCAGGTAGGGGACACAACCCATTTTTGGGCTTGCCTGAAGTGGGAGATGCTTTTTGAGTAGGCACATTCCTCAGTATCCAGAACAGCTGCCCACAGCACAGTGCTGTGCCATGGGGAGATGATCCTGGTGGCACCTTGCTTCATGTGGGGGTGGTCACAGCTCTGAGGCTGTTGTGTAGTGAGGCATCAGCACAAAAGCCAGCTTTGAATTTAGCACGTGGTAGTTTGTGTTAATTTGGTAAAATACGTAAGTTGCTGGAATTTCTTGGGTTTCTAATCTAGAACCCTAATTTAGAATTAGAAATTAGAAACCCTTGTGTTTCTAATCTAACCCTAATCTAGGACCGGGCTTTAAGGTGCTTTGGAGTGACAGGTAATGTGGTTTTAGTTCCCTCACTGGTGAAAAAAGGTGTATGCTGAAATGTGCAGTAGCAGTTGAATAACCATGATTTCTTCAAATTAATTGCTAACTTCTGATGGCATGCTGGAAGAAATTGGAGGTAGGGTTGCTTTTGTTGTCCCTGTAATATATAAGGTGGAGAGTCTTCAAAGGCCATAGAGGTCCAAAGGTGTTAGTAGAGGCACCTGTATGACTGGTAGAAGGACACTGGAAATGTCTAGGTGCCTTTTAAAAATGCCTTTGGGCATTTGTTTGCATCTAGAGAGTTAAAAGTCTATAGCAACTGGAAAAGTGGTTTCTTTCTCTGCATGAGTAGCTGATTCCCTGGGAAACGTGAGCAGTCTGCCTGACAAGCTTGGGACTGGGGTACTGATGTGGCCAGCTTTCTGCAGGGAAACTTGTTTTTCCAGGAAGAAAATTTGTTCCTGTGCTCTTTATTCTTTCCCTGTGCCCCATCATCTGTGAAATGGGGCAGATTTGCAAGTGCAATGGGAGAATCAGTTTATTCAGATGTATCCTGGGTATGCTTTTTCACTTCTCCCAGCAGAAATGGTTCATTAGGAATTTAAGACAAAATTGCAGATACTTTACAAATACAGCCAATTTTCCTGAGAAAAGAAAACTGCTGCTTTAAGAAAGCAAGAGCTTCCACTGATTTGGTCAAATTGAGTTTCTGTGGAAACTGTTTTTTGAATAAATCTGGTTCATTTGTTTTAATAATCTAGGAATAAAGTCTGTGCTGTTTATATGTAAATGTGATAGCCATGATAGAAAAACAGTATATCAGTGTTTAGCATCATTTCAGTTCAATGAAGAGTCTTGCACTTGTAGAAATACTCAGCTCATAGAAGACTTACTGTCTTCTCAGGGGCTTTGTTACAATAGGATACTGCTGCTACATGTGGTGATTAATGTGGGCAGAGTAGATGCATTCTGGATTCATAGATACTGTTTCTTTAAAATGTATTTTGATGTGTAGCCCTATATTTAGTAGTAGTAGTAATTTGGTTGGGATTGAGGAGAGCCTCAGGAGTTTCTGAATTTCAAAGGGTATGTTTGGATTTGTCTTGTAGAAGGAGGAAGTCTAAAACTCCAAATGAAGATTTTTGCTTGCAGTAGGTATTAACTAAAATATTTCTGCTTTCCTTTTACATAGGTCTTCAAAGAAGGTTCTCTGCTTATGGCTTCTCCTTGTATAACTCATTTTTAGAGTTTATGCCCCACAGAATATGTAGTCTCTTTTAGCTGCAATCTGTTGATTATGCTTTCAGTCACTTTTACTGTGTGCAGTGAAGGCATCTTAGTTTCAAGTGTTGATTAACATCTGTATGTTTCACTGCTGTTTTCCAGGAACACCTAATTTAGGTACAGATATGAAAACACCTGTGAGAGTGGGGAGTATTACATTTAATTGAAAAGCAGATTATTTTGTTGATTTTGGCATTGTTGTGGTAGCACACAAAATTTCAAAACTGTGACCTACATTTTATTTTTCAAAATAACAAGAGAAACCTAAACACCTCATTTTTGAGTTTTGATCAAATTCAAGAACAAGTTTTGATTTGCCAGATGATAAGCAGAAACTTAAAAGCTGCTAATTGTTTCAGAGAGATTAAAATGCTCCCTTTCATGTTCTACAGATATATTCCCTAAACACGGTAAGAGCCTTAAGAATTAGTTGAAGAATGACCTCCAGTGGCCTGGAGTGGGATTATTATGAATTTCAGCCGGTGGAGTCCAGCTCTGTAGAATATGCCACTCCGGGAGCTGACTCCTTCCTTCTCCCTGCCAATACTGACAACTCTTACTGGGATCCCAGTGCCATCTCTGAGTGGTCAATGAGTGTCCATACAGCACACACCTCAGAAATAGTCCAGGAGAAAATTGTCCCGGTGAAGGAAATCAAGGATGAAAAAAATAAGAGAAACCAGAAGAGAAAGGCTAGGAAGGAACCTAGAAGATCAGAAAGAGAGAAGGAGGTTAGAACTCTTGTGCGTCACCCCTGCCCTGCGCCTGGCGCTGTCGCGGTGCATGCTGCGGCCGAGCTCCCTGCGCTGCATGGCTGCATGGCCCGCTTGGCGCTCCGTGCCCTGCATCCAGCCTCCTGCTCTGCCTGCACCCTTGAGAACCTAGCTGGGAAAACAGATGGGTTTAAAACAAAGGCCAAAGGCCCTGGAACTTGCTTTCTGGAAGCTCCAGTTTAAGAAGCAGAAAATTAGTTTCAAATGGAAAAATAGCCCAGGGTTCATAATCATTTCTAGCTGAATGCAAATGTGCAAAGTGGCTTATTCCTGTGGTCCCATTTCATTTAGGCTGTAATTTGTTTTGTTCATGATTATTTTTCATGCCTTAATCGCTTCTGCTGGTCATGCATCATCATTTATTGTGCAAGAATGAAGTTGTTCTTAATTGTGCATTGTGACTGCCTCTCTGTAGCACAAGAGGAGGAGAGCAGCACAGAGACACTGAGAAACATGAGAGCATATTCAGTTCCCTTTACAGCTGCTGTTCCCTGTACAGCTGCTGCAGGGTATCCACATATGCTTGTATGCTCCTGCAAGCATTTAACACTTGGTTATATTTTGACTTTAGAATATTTTGATACTTCTACTGTGAATTTAGTGGCTTGATTTTATATTATAGGTTGGACTGAGTGATCTTAGAGGTCTCTCCCAATCTCTTTATTCTGTGATTCTGTGATTTTATATTATATGACTTCACAAGTGCTGTTCAGCATTTTGTGTCAGCGATCAAAGCCATGAGTTTTTTCTGGTTGTTTTGGTTGTTTATTTTTTGGTTGGCCAAAGTTGTGGATGCTGTATCACTGGAAGTGTGCAAGGCCAGGCTGGATGGGGCAATCTGGTTTAGAGGAAGGTGTCCCTGCTTAGGGGAAGGGAGTTGGAACCAGGTGATCTTTAGGGTCCCTTCCAACCTCAATCTATGAATCTATGATTTTGGTGCCATTCTTCTGCAGCAAGATAGGCTATTGATTTCTGGAAACATAGAAGTGAGGAGGCAAAATGTCACATGGGAGAAGGGCCTTAAAGGAGATTGTGCAACCATTGGTTGCTCTGGAGAATAGGAATGTGCAGGAAAAAATGTGGTTATAGTTTGGGGGTTTTTAAATCAGAGAGAGGAAAAATTAACATGTATTACAAACTAATGTAAACCAAATCTCACTAATTTGGGTCTGTAGAGTCTATAAGAGAAACTCCAGTAACCCAGGAGAGCTGTCAGAAATCTACCTGAGACTGTATTAGAAGTCACTTGTGTTGTTTCGTTCCCTTGGGGTGAACTTCAGATGTAAATAGAAATTTCCAAGTGCCTGGTCCCGGTGGTTGCATCCACTGTTAAGATAACACATGAGGAAGCTCAGAGAAATAGTTGCAAACACCAGGACACTGAGCAAATGCCAACAGCCATGCCAACAAAGAAGTGCCTAAAGAAAGGGTAATGACAAAGTCCATGGGGAAAAATCAAGATTTAGGTATCTGTCTTTCTTCAGGACTCCCAGCCTGTAAACCTCTCCTGAAAGCATGTGTTTAAGCCCTCTGTAAAGAGCATGATTCCCCCCTCTTGAAATGTACTTGTCGCTGTGCAGGAGTCCTGTTACAGGTAGAGCTCTCAGATGTGCAGTCCTGCATCCTCTGCATCAGTGCATGCAGATTTCTATCCCAGTCTCCAAGTGTCAGCTTCTCACTATCCCAATGAATACCAAGATTTTTTTTCCTAAAAGTGGAGAACTTTCAACACTGCGGTGCTGCCATGGTGAGACAAAGTGAGTGAGCACTGCTATCTCTGGGCTCCTGTGGAAAAACCAGTGGCCACTTCCTTCATTGGCTTAATTTTGAAGGGTGGTGGCTGTACCTGCAACATGCATGGATCTTCTTCCATCAGGTGTGTGGCAGGAGCACTCCCAGGGCCAGAGAGAGGCGGGGAGCTGCCTGCACTAGGGCTGTGCAGGGCCAGGGTGTGCCATGTCCCTGTGATGCAGTGCCCTGTACCTGCCTTGCAAGCTGCTATGTCCAGGGCATGGACATCCTGGAGTGGAATTTCCTGAGTTTGAGCTGTCTTCAGAGCTAGGCACATCTGAGGAAGGGGGGTTACGATTCACCAGTGTAGACGTTAGTGCCTTAGTTCTGTTGAGCCTCACTTAAGTCTTTTTGGCTTTGGGCCCACATCTGCATTTGGGCACTGTTGTTTCTGTCAAGGTCATGTTTCTGTGACACAGCGCTGGAATTGTCTCTCTTCATTGCTACTGATCTGCAGTCTGTTCCTAAGGCATAAATCTCTTGGAAACAGAATCATAAATTGTGCCCAACATAATAGTCTGGACGGTTAATACGCATTTACCAATGTAATTGCTCTCTGAGCCTCTGGAACAGACCCCTAATGCTTTGCTAAAGACAGAATTGTAGTGAGTGCTTTCAGAGACATTTATTTCAGTAATTAATAAAAGGTACACAAATAGGTGATTACACTGCCCGAAAATTCATGCTGTGAAAAAACCACAACTCATCTGTTTCCTTGGACTCTGTGAAAGGCAGGGCAGGGATTTGCTCCATTGCTGATGGGAAGGGAAGGCAAGTTAGAGTGCAGTGGTGCAGGCACTGTTATTTATAGGATGGCTGTGCTCTCCATGGCTGGGTTGCTCAGTGGCTGTCTCACAGATGTCATCACAACCTGGTGGTTCAGCTTCCACAGCACTTAAGCAGTTTAAGGTAACTGTTTGTGCTGAGGTGTAAGGGAATAGTGGACCAGGTGCTGCCGTGTCCTGCTGGCTGAGGGGTCTGGTGCTGGTAGGGATGGACCCTCACCAGACAATGATACGTGCCCTCTCTTCTCTGGGAGGTGCCTCAGTTGGTGAAACAAGGTTTGAGATATCCTTTGGCACTCCCTGTTACATGGATGAGGTGCTTCTTTTGTCCAGTCAGGGTGTGGGTTGGACCTTATTGGATGCTCATGTAGGGAAGATGTCATAACCAAAGCCCATACCTTGGGCAGGAGGCACTTGAGCCTGCCATTTGCAGGACTTAGGTCCCTTCACTTAGATCTATTTCAGGGACCAGAATGTATTTTGGAACAAAGCTTAGGCATGGCTGAAGCAGTTCCAGTGCTGCTCTGCATCCCCAGTGTGTGGCCCCCCAGCATACAGGTTGGGATTACCAAGGGGCACTTGGTCTTGCAGCAGTGAGGTGTGCTGCCCACTTTCCAAACAGACAAATGTGTTTGTATAAAATGTAAATGAAATGCTGTTAGAAGTAGCTGTCATATCAACAAACCCCCAAAAGCTTTGGCCCCATTGCAGTTACTCTGATGGGGACAGGAACAGCCTTGATTTAAACTGCCCCAGTAAGAAGATCCTTAATTACAAACCAAATCCTGTATGATCCATTTCTGCCCCAAATCTGTCTTCTCCACAGTAATGTTTCCAACTGCAAAGCAGTAGGAACCAATCATTTATTGTTCAGATTCCATCCACTGCAATGGCAGTTGCCACTTTGTTTTAGTCTGTTTTATAATATCTTCTGTGGATTTGCTGGTGCATCAATACCACTTGGCAGGGGTAGGTTGGCAGATTACTTTCCACTTCATGATAATCAGATAAAATGATTTTTTGCACTGTCCCACATGACTCACTACTGCAGTAACAATAGCTGTGCCATTATCAAAAATCAGATATAAAATTCTTCCTCAGTTTGTTGGTGAGCAGATTTCCATGTAGTCATAGTAACCAGTAACTATTTGACATTTGTACTTGTGAGATGGTATAATTTGGACATTTTCCATAACATTTTGGTTGTCTTTGAGTTTGGAACAAATACATAAGTTCAGAGCACTTGCCATGCTGTCAATTTTCCAATACTTTTTGTTTCCACTTCCTGGAAGCTTTTCTGCCTTTGCTGAAATCCTTTAAAATACATTTCCAGTTACAAGAACAAAAGTAAAAATATCTAACCTCTAGAAACAACAACAAAAAATAGCAGGCTTTTAAAAAGCACCTTCAACACAATTTTTAAAAATGAACTTCATTATTATAAGCCAATTTAATGATTTACTGATAGGGTTTACTGAAAGGTTGTGGTTGGCAATGCTCATTTTTTTTATAGATTAATAACTATTTTGGTGTCATTAGCACAAAATAACCCCACCAAGAGCAATTTTTAAGTCAGCTGCTAATTGCCTTTGAGAACAAATTGTTCAAATAAGCCAGTTATCTAAAGACTTGGACACTCTAGAATAAAAAATACAGAAATTTCTCCAGTTTTAGTATTTAATATAATATGCTATTGTCTGATAAAGAATTTTACCTGAGAAATTTTATGTCTGTTTAGGACTTGGTTTCCTGCAAGCCTTTTTAGGACACATGGCATATCTCTGCCCTGTGTGTGTTTGTGGTGACCACCATCTAGATAAGCAGAAATGGATTGGATTCCAAATCTGTTTATTAATCCCATACAAGTCTGTGTGCAGCTTTGAAGCCTGTCTCTGTTCCTGGATTCAGTCTGTGCTTTGGCATTGCTGGTTCAAAGCAACTTCAAAGGAAAGCCAAGACCAGTTGTGGCAGCAGCAGAGCTACTGCAGCTCATTTTCCCATTGATCCCTGTCCTACATCCCTACACATCGCTTCCTAAATCCTTCTCTTGCCTCTCCTTTATCAGGTTCTTACCAACATGTGCAGAAAAACATATAGATAGTCCCTGATGGGCAGGGACAGTGGTTTAAGTTTCCCTAGTCTTCAGTTTCTGGAAGGATTCTGGAAACTAATCTTGGGCTCTCTAGCTCAGCAAATGAGTTCAGCAGTTGTTAGAGAGGAGATAGATGGGCAGTCAGACAAGATGACCACATCAGCGTAGTTTCTTTTGGAAAGTTGGCCTTAAAGGAAATAAGTTGATGCAGGAGACTTGCTTGTTGCTGCTACATGGTGGGTCAAAGAGAAATGAAAGTCGTTCGGAGCTCAGGATGGCTCAGTTGCTCGAGTGAAACAAGTAGATGGTCCTGCAGTTGTGGTTCTCATTGAAAAGTTGCCTCCACTCTTAGCACTAATTGGTAAACTCATCAGAGGTGCTGAAGAGACCAATCTCATCTCATGCTCCTTATCCTAAGCAGGGCTGATGGAGAATCAGAGCCAAAGCAGGAGAGCCTTATCCAGTTAGTGTAAGTCCTGGAGGATTATTATGATGAATTAAGACAGCCTGTAATTCCCTTTAGTTCCCTACAGACACTGATGACTATTAGACACGTAGAGCCAAATGTATCCAATTCACTGCCTTCTAATACTGCCATGTTTTTGGAATGCTTCAGCGCTGTTTATGGGATTGTGATGACTTGCAAACTTCTGTAAATGGTTTGTAGCTCTGATACTTGCAGTAACTTCATTAATCTTGGAAACTTCTATGGTAGTTGTTTAGGGGGACTGTTTTTAAAGGCAGCTTGGATTGAAACAGTATGTGTGTCGAAAATGCAGCCCCTGTGTGTGTTGTCTGCATTTGCATTAAGTCAAAATGAGGTGGGAATTGCACCAATTACAAATTTGCTTCTTTTTGCAGGGTGACCAGACAGCACTGCACCGGGCTGCTGTAGTAGGGAACGCCGATATAATAGCAACCCTGATTCAGGAGGGCTGTGCTTTGGACAGACAGGACAAGGTAACAAACAAAACAGAAGCCCTGTGGAATGGCAGCTTTGGCAGTCAGTAATGTTAAGGTCTCAGTGAGAAAGTTATAGTTTATACTCCTTACTAAGTGTCTGATGCTTCGGGAGTAATTGGAGCAATTACGTTGAAAAAAAGCTGTACCATCTCTTTAATACAAATTACTGGTTTCGTTATGCTTCTCTATTAGGCTGATAGTTTTTGGTTTAAGAGTCTGTTCTCAGCTCATTAAGGGATGAATTAAAGGAATGTACAACCATACTACGCCCTACGCAAAAGACTGCACAGTTCCCATGATTATCCCAGAAACTTGAGAATCCCAGGCTGTAAGTTTAATTTAGAAGTAAATGTAACTAATTTCAAGTTCCAGACAAATAGCAGTGTTTTTACCCTCTTACAAAAATAAAATAGAAAATAAGCTAGTAGGAAATAAAAATACTTTTAAGAGAGTAGGTTGGTTATACAGCCCCTAACATTCTCCTCTTATGTGTGTGCTCCTCAGGATGGGAACACTGCTCTTCATGAAGCTTGTTGGCATGGATTCAGTCAGTCTGCCAAAGTGCTTGTTAAAGCAGGAGCCAACGTTCTTGCCAAGAACAAGGTGAGACCCGTGGAGGAGGAGCTTTCACTTCTGCTCTAAGGTGGCTGACTCTCAGAACTGGAGATTTCTGGCCATGGCATTTTTCAACAGGTGGGGGGCCAGCTCTTAGTGGGATTTTTTTCTTCTTTTCATTTATCACGCCTGGATGGTTCATCCACAGGCATTAGGAAATTCATATTTTGCCAGCTGACGCAGGAGAAACTCAATAATGCGTTGAATGATACATTAATTACAGCTGAGGAACACTGCCATTCCTGTGGAAATCTCCATGGTGCTCTAATTTATCCTGAGGAGATTCATTGTGATTGGTGTGATTTAAAATGGAAATGAATTGTACTAATAAGAAAAAGGTATTGAAAATCTGTTCTTTTCCAGAAATTAAACAGCCAAAGGAATGTAGGCCACAGGGGGAAACAAAAAAAAAGTGTCTTAATAAGTTTTTCCTAATATATTAGCATAGTCTCTTCCCAGAATCTTGTAATGAACCTGGATTATGTTCCTTTTGGTATTTATAATACCTTGAGAGCCATTTAGAGGAAAGAATAACAAAGTAAAGGGTTTTAGTTCCATTCTAATTGTTATAGCTGAGGGGCACTTCAATTCAGTAATTCAGAAGTTAATGGAATAGTCCAGGAAATGGTGGTAGCAGCCCATGGTGTGAGCGGAGTCAGGGTTTGGATAGCTGTGCTGCTGGGTTGGTCAGATCACACGGCTGGCACGGTGCCCCGTGTGACAGGGAGAGGACTTTGGGATTGCTTTAGGGGATGTCTGAGCATTTTTGGTAAATGTGTCTCTAAAACAACAACTGAAAGGGGGCTGGGAAGGAAAGGAGACAGCTGGTCAAAGTCTAAGGTTTAGAGTGAAAAGGTATGTTGCTTGGGCATAGTGTTTCTGTATGTGCATGTATGTATAGGCACTATAGAATCATATATTTGTAGAGTTGTGGTGACTTTGTGGTCTGCAATTTCATTGTATTTGATAGTATTTTATGTATATTCCTTCTTTTGTGTTATTTCAACTACCAATTTTTATTTACTGTAATTACTTTTGCTGTAATGTCCGCCTAGACTTGTATCAAGGGTACTTTAGAAAAGTTCCCATGCTTGACTGTAAGTCTTGTGAGTCATTTTGCTCCTGTCCCTGGATATGCTTGTCTATGTATACACGTACACTTCTGTACAAAGGTGTGGGCCTAAGATGCAAGTCTGGTTATCCTGCATGCTTGGGTGTCTCAGGGAATTAGAAGATTTAGCTTACAATCCAGTTTATGTCAGCTGGAGGCAACCTCTCTGGGAAAGTATGTGCACAAAATAGCTCAGCAGGACTGATGGCTGAAATATGACTGGCAAACTTAAATACTGCCTGAGCAGCTCCTGTGCTAGTCTTTGATGTCTTGCCCTTTGCATTTTACTCTTTGGGTGGTTTTTAATGGACAAGATATATTCTCAGAAGCTGCTGAAAAATGTGGGAATCATGCATGCTTGCACGTGCTTTTACCCCTTTTGTTTTCAAGAAAAATTAAGAGCTTAAGTCCACTTAATCCCAAAATGGTTTCTCTGTTCTCTCAGCTTTTTGTGTTACTGATGACAAGGCACTATCATTCTGACAGCTTTTCTGGCAGCCAGGGTTGAGTGCTGTGTGCAGGAGCATCCCACAGGCTGTTGACTTACACCTGGGTATTGTGTGATTTTGGATGGATGGGACAGATATGAACTGCTAGATTTGCCAAACATGTGAAGCAGCAAAAGATGGGAAGGATTTGACACTGTGCTTTGGGTAGCTGTATTCCTCCTGCACAGCAGTCATCCTGGAGATGCAGTTTATTTTCATTTAAGTTGGCTTAATAAAATCTTTTCTGCTTTGATAGATCATCCAGTGAGATCAGTTGTAGCCTTATTTTTAGATTCTTCATCAGTCTGTACATTTCAGTGAAGATTCCCAGACTGGTACAACGTGGAGCTTCTCTCCCTCTCAGAAGAGCTCTGACCCTTGGCACTGTCATTCTCCCTGAATTGAAGTCCTCACCTGCTGCACAGGACCTCTGCCTTCCCACCAGGGCCAACCTGCCAAACAGTAAATGATAAAGGCATTGCAGAGGCTTTTCAGAGATAAACCTGTGAGGGAAAAAATTGACACTTAAACACAATTTAGCTGAGAAGAGAAATGTTCATGTCTGCCACAGCTTAGAGGCTGACATGCAGTCATATTCAGGTCTATAATATGGAAGTGAAGACCTAAGACCACATGTAAGCTTGGCTTTTGTAATTCAAACCCTGCAGCTTTGATCTGTGTCTTGAAAGCAAGGGGGACAAATCAAAGGACAAAATTAAGGTGAACAGACAGCATAGTAAGCCTGGTAAACCTTTTTACCTGAGGTGATTTAATTTCTAGCTTCCAAGAGCCAAAAGCCCTGAATGTTTTCAGATCAACAAAAACCAAATGCTGCCAGAAAAAAACTTGTCAGACCAATAAACTCATTCATTGTTTAGAAAGACATACACGGGCCAACACTTCTTTGATTTCTGTCCACTTCTGCACATTTTCTTCTTTGAGGAACCGTAGCATGTGATTCTCTACAGCTTGGGTGGCTTTTTGCCCTCCCTTCCCATCTTGGTTGGAGTCTGGTGTGCCTCCTGAACATCAAAGCTTCTTGATAGCCTAAAATCTGTATCCTGCCCAGTGAGAGCACCTACAGACGCAGCCAGACTTCAAGCTGGTTTGTATTACAGTTGTAAGGAGACAGGAGTTGTGACCCTGGTCTGCTCAATACCCTGCAGCATTTGTGGCTGGGATCAAAGATCCCGTGCCATGGCAGTTTACTTTTTTGTGTCTGTGCATGGGGGAAACCCGAAACACAAGAATTACAGTTCTTTAGATTACATACTTAACACTGCTGTTTGAGACTAATGAATGAGACGGTTTCTAGAGTTCTTTCTTCCTGTAAACAGATTTGACCAATGCAGATATCATTATACTGTCCTATTTCTGCCTTTATTATATCCCAGGTAAGCCATTGCCTGAGTGAAGCGGTGATTTCAATCTCTGGGTTCATTAATCTCATATCTTTGGGAAAACAACAGTTTCCCACCCTTGGGTGGATCTTATTGTGCAAAGATCTGTGAGGTTTTATATTTTAATGCTCATGTCCAATATCTAAATATGGCTTTTATATTTTCCTGTATTTCTCTAAGGCAGGTAACACACCTCTTCACCTGGCTTGCCAGAATAGCCATTCCCAGAGTACTCGTGTTTTGTTACTTGGAGGATCTCGAGCAGACCTCAAAAATAATGTGAGTTTTGGAAATAACTGTTCATTTTTGTGTGACTTTGTTTTAGGTATATTGCTTTAACTTGTAGAAATACTCAGAAAGGCTTTAAGCAATGATTTTTATTATAATTATATTGAAAAAACCCCACTACCCAACCATTGTATTCACCATGCACAGGAATGCTTTTGGAAGAATTGAGTGATGCACTACTTGTACCCATTTCTTGAGCAAGTATAGAAGGAGCCAAATGGGGTTTTGCTGTTGCACAGACAATGGTGAAAGGCTTCAGATCTGCACATCATATACTCTATGTGTCCATCTTTCAAATGAAGTAGATTCAGGGGTGGCTTCAGTTTCAGACAGCTTTCCTCCTATTTTATAATGATTCTGGCATGATAGATACAGAAAAAAACAATCTACAAAAGAAAAACAGATTTTTCCCTGCTCGATAACAAAGTGGGCAGAGAAATGGAAACATGTGGGGTTTTGTGCAGCTCCCAGGCTCAGCTGCACAAGTGCCACCCTTCATGGGAATGCTACTCTGGCTGCCACTCATGTTTTCAACATTATGTGGAACCCTAAGTGGAGATTCCAAATTGCACTGGGTTGTGGTTCAGAAGAACAGATTTAATGGGAAAATATAACTAACTCAGGGTTTGTAGTGCCAGTAAAATAGCATTTTATTTTTCCAGTATTTCCTACCAGTGGTTAAAGAATTCATGCTCTCACCTTGCCTGACCCCAGCTCTTGCTAAACTTTCCCACCCATGATAGCAGATTTTGTACTGCAGAGAAGACAGCATTGCTGTTCTGTGGAGCTGTGTGGTGTTTACTGCTCTTTCTGATTTAATAGGATTATTTCATCCCTGAACATCATGACAAGTACAGGCTTTCTCACAGTGATTACATGCTCAGAGCTTTGTTTCTGTTTGCAGGCAGGAGATACCTGTCTGCATGTGGCTGCTCGTTATAATCACTTGCCCATCATTAGGGTGCTGCTCAGTGCTTTCTGTTCTGTCCATGAAAAGAACCAGGTCAGTGCATGAACCTCATTGTGACTCTGTGCCCTTTGCATACGGCCACTTGTTGGGAAGAGGAATTCCTACCCAAGTAATCCTGCTTCACTCTGTGTGTTCCACTGTACCACCAAATGCCTAAGCTTTTAAGAATAGCCTTAAAGTAATGGCATGTCGGTGGTTTATTATTTTGCCATCGCATTTGCATTATTTCTTTAAAGCATTGCTTATTTATGAGGTGATTTAATGATCTTATAGCCTTTACAGAGACATTGTGAAGCACAACTCACTGATATTTAGATGCTACTAAAGTGCAAATTCCTCTGGAATACTTTTCTTTCCTGCATTTTGAAGTAGGGGGAATTAAGAGGACATAAAAGTGAAGACAAAGCATACTCTAAATTCAAAGTAATGATCAGTCCAGCCTAGGATTAATCATCCATAGTTGTTTTATAGGGAAGTAACTGCTGTACCTATAGCATAGCCTAATTGGGTAGTAGAAGGGAATGAAATTAGTACATTAAAACGTTTTAAATTTGTTAAATAAACATATTATGTGGTGCTTAACCACATTTTCTCATGTTCCTGGGAAATCTTCCATGGGTAGTTGAGGATCATAAAGATGTTTTCTGAACTGTACATTTAATGTTCTTTTCTCACTATGATGTATTATAGCAAACAAAATGGGTTTCAGCATGTGAAATTTACTATGTAATTTTATTTGGAAATGAGTTTTTTAACTCACAAAATGAGCTACTGAATATTAAGATTGACTGGTGTGAACCTGGCCCAGAGAGACATCCCTTTCCCTCATTCCCCAGCACTACCTGAAGTTGTTCCATATTTGCCCATAGAATGGTTTGATTTAGGAGTACATCTCATCTAAGTTAGCAACAGGCACAAATCCTGAGGAAATCTAATTTTATGAAGGCAAAATGCAAGACCAGGGGGACAGGAAGGCATTATACACACGTGTCCGGTCCCACTTGAACAGTTGCTGGCTCTGTTACCGGTGCCCAAATCTGATCACGGCTGTCTTCACCTCACTGCACCAGGACAAGGGTAGGGCAGTGTGTTAGTGCTGGACCCAGACTGCCTTCTGGCTCTGATCCAAAATCTGTTCTTCCTGAGGAAACCTGTAAAGAGCATGCCAACCATCTCGCTGCCGGTACTTACCTGAGTATTTCTGAGTAATGTGATACATGACCACCTGCACACCAAATAATCAAACCTGGGGGAAAAAAAAGAAGAGAAAGTTGTAGTGGGAAAACTTGTTCTACCCTCAGATGTCGTATCCATTTACTGGGGGTAGAGCTGGGCTGTCTCCAAGCTGCATCATGTGTCACTTGGTTTAGATAAATCAGATCACCAGTGCCCCAGCTGCATTTCTCAAACCCAGGCTGAAGTATCTCTTTGCCCCCTCCTTGTCATCTTCCTCCCCAGTCAGTCATTTTTTATTGACCAGGCCTTATTTAAGCTAGTTGTTGCATCAGTAAGTGCAGGTTTTTTCATGTCTGAGCATCTTTTAGGAAGGTGTGAGTTCTGTAGGGTGAGACCCAAGGACTAGTGTCACAAGATTGTTTTCTGCTTTCTGACTTGCAGGCAGGGGATACTGCACTCCATGTAGCTGCTGCTCTAAATCACAAGAAGGTGGTGAAGCTCTTGCTGGAGGCAGGGGCTGATGCGTCCGTTGTCAACAATGTAAGCAGGACACAGAGTTTCTTTGGTATTTTATATTATATAAAGTCTCTTCAACATTCCTCATAGGCTTGGTAGAAAATACTTGGTTGTGAAGTGTTGAATTATATCTGGGTAAATTAATGCAATTAGTCACTTTGCTCTTGTGCACAGAGTATATACTGAACTTGGTTGGAGAACTTTCATGTTTCCAGTAGCTTGTGTTTTGAAGGAAATGCTGTTTTCTTTTTTCCTCTCAGGCAGGCCAGACCCCTCTAGAGGTTGCCAGACAGCACAATAACCCCGAGGTTGCGCTCCTGCTCACTAAAGCATCACAGGTACATTACACATCTCTCCCCAACACACATATACACATGGAGCTGAGGCCACTTAATCTTGGGAGGCTGCATCCCCTGCACCTTGTCTTCTGCTGTGAAAGGTTCCTACATTTGTAATGGCATTGTGGGCTGGGCTCAGATCTGTTGACATAGAGACCTTCAGCCCCCAAAGTGAGCAAGGTGTGCAGATTAAGCCTCAGCATGAAGTGCTGTCAGAGGTCTTTATGTCCTAACTGGCAGAGGGTGGCACTTGTTCAGAGGCACTTGCTCCCTGCAGTGGCCCAGGGGTTAGGAAGTTGCCCTGTACCCTGAAGCTCCTGAGTTGTGTCACTCTGCTGCCTGCCTCAGGCATGTCCAGAAGGGTGGTTAGCACTGGAGGATACTTTGCAATGGGAACAAAATGTTTCTGTCCTGTTTATACTTTGCAGTTGTGTGTGAAATGCTGCAAAGCTCTTCAGACCAGAAGGCAGAAGGGCATGAGACCAGGCACAATCCTTGCTGTCCTCATCCTTGTCACCTCTGCATGAAAAGGGCTGGGCTTGGCTTGGGAACAAGCCCAAGGACAGCAGAGGAGGTGCTCACCCTTCTAGGGGACTGCAGAGTGCCCCAACAGACTGAGCTCAGTGCTGGTGTGTTTTCACAGCCATAAACACCCACATTGCTTGGCTCATCAGTGTCCATCTGGAAGTGCACTCTTCTTTACCCGTTGCCTTTCAGAAAAGGAAAAGGTCTGCTCTATTTCTTGTCTTCTGTGGTAGGGAGGAGCATGACATCACTGAGTAACAGTGTGGTCTGTCTTCAGGTCTCACGTTTTAACCGTGGGAGAAGCCTGAGGAAGAAGAGAGAGAGACTGAAGGAGGAAAGGAGGGCTCAGTCGGTGCCACGGGATGAAGTGGTACAGAGCAAGGTACAGCCTGGCATTACCAGCTGGATCTGCTGTAAGGAGGGACTGTCATAAAAACCCATTAATGATGCAATCTATTTGGAGCCATCACTGTGCATGGCCCCAGCAGCTGCCCGAGGCAGTTTGTCATGCTCTGCTGCTAAAGCATTTCCCACTCACGTGTGCAGAGCAGCTTAAAGCTGGGCAATCAAGGAAGAGGCTCCTTTTCCCCATCTCTACAACTCCTCTGAACTCCCTGTCTTTGCTTCAAGCAGGGCAGTGTCTCAGCTGCTGATGACACACCAAGCAGCGACCAGCCCCCAGAGAGGAAGAACAATCTGAAGGATAAACCCCGGTCAGCCTCACCAGATCCTAAAGGGAAAAAGAGCAAAAAGAAAAAGCCAAAGGAAAAGGTATAAGTAGATTTAAAACAGCAGAGAGAAAGAAGGGATAGCTGTTCAGAAGTGGTGTGGGTCCCTTTGGTGTGTTGGGGCAGCAGCCCCACCACGCTTCTGGGGCAGAGATAGTCTTCAGATAAAAGTGATTTTTGCTGTAATTGTCACAATGAATTTGTCCCATTCCCACCAGGAAGAGTTTACCAAGATGCTTACATGGACAAAACATTGTGTGTATGTTACGCAGGTTTCAGCACTCTCAGACCCCATCTCCCCAGCTGATCAGCAGACACTCCCTCAGGCCCAGAAGAACGTGCCTAAGCGCAGAAGTAAACACCACTGCTCCTCTCCACCCCCTCCGCACGAGGTCCGAGCCTACCAGCTCTACACGCTCTACCGAGGGAAGGACGGGAAGGTGATGCAGGTGAGCCACTGCCCTCACACAGGGAGACACTGCAAGCAGCCTGTGGAGCTGGGACACAGGTAATGGACAGAAAAGATGCTCCACTAACTGCATTCTTAGGGGCATGAAATCATGACTTGGGATTGATTTTCCTTGCTTGGGCTTCAGATACATTTTGGCCTGAAGTCTGGAAAACAATAAAGTGGTTTTGTGCCTGTTAAAGAAGACATACTTAAATAGTTTTAATCTGCAAAGATAAGGGGTGAACAGGGATTCGAAATGACATGAAAACTTTCATTATATACTTTGGAACATTAAGAGTTCTGACAGGAGAAACAAATTTTTCAAGGAAAAGCAGTGTGTGAGCACCGAAAGCTTACTACCTAAACCAAGAGGTTAAGTAAGCTCAGTAGATTTTGTTCCAATTCTTTCAGGGTTTTGCAACTTGTCTTTGGGTATTCTGTGTTTACTGAGGGCAGGATTTCTATAGAAACTGGTAAACAAATAAGCCTGGAGCTACCAGACCACATGCATTTATTCCAGTTTGGAGAACAATATTTTAGTCACTTCATTACACAATTACCAGTAGACATTTCTAAGAAAGCATAAAAACGGTAATTAAATTATCCTGTAGACACTGTAAACATCTGTATTGTTGTTTTCTTAATATTGCCCCCTGTATTCCTGGAAGGTCTATCCTTTCATTTTCTTAGCTTCTCACATCCATCCATCAGCTCTTGTCAGTCCCTTCCTGTAGTTCAGAATTTCAGCAGATTCTGAAGACCATTCAAGCCAGACTTCTAAGGTTTTACTGGCTGTTTACTGCTTTCCAACCTCTCCATGTAATGTTTGAGAAATTTCCAGACAGGGGCACTATGGAATTATCCTACAGCAGACATCAGGAAGGGTGGGGGACCTTTCATACATTAAAGGCATAAAAAGAGCAGAGAGGTGCAGAAGGACTTGGGGAGTAGAAAGCTGCAGAAAGCAGAAAGGACTTGTATACAAATCTCATCTGTTCACAAAGATTAGCTTAATAGTGCTAGACTCCCATACAGTATTTCCTGAAATACATGATACTCCTCTCTCCTTTTCTTTTTTGCTTGTCTGTCTTCTTTGATGCCCTGAGGCCATAAATAGCAAACATAATTTCTGAAGTACATGTACTTCTGAAGCTTTCTTTAGTACTCAGCAAACCACCCACCTTTCCCTGCCAAGGGAATAACCCCCAATTTAGGGAACATTGCCGTGGGGCTAAAGAAAAGAGGGAGGCTCCTCTGCAGACAGATTCAGACCAGCTGCTTTGGGCTACTGGCACAGCCCCTGAAGGAGCCACTTAGTGCCTTTGGGCTGCAGAGGAAGCTGATGAGGTTTAGCTGTCCTTGCTTAAGGGAGCCTTTTGTGGCCATCTCCCTGAGAGATTTAAATGTGGTCAGTGCAGCTGCCCTTGCAGAGGGGCCATGGGATGGTGTCACATGAGTCAGAGGCTCAGGAGTGCCCAGGAGCTGAATGCCAGGAGGGTGAGGGCAAACAGAAGCAGCGAGGCCTTGCCATCCAGTACTGAAGAAGGACAGAGCACATGATTGGCATTAGGGTAAAAAACAAATGCACACAACCTACACCCATCCACAAATTAGATTTTTACAACTGAGAATTACAGCATTGAGACACGGGGTGTAGGCCTGTGATGTGGTATTCCCTCAGCCAACACACAGGGTCTGAGCTCGCTGTTGCTTGTAGCCCCAGTGAAGTCAACACTGCTGTGTTAGGGTGTGTCCCTACACATCAAACCAATCCCTGTGTAGCTGTGCTTTTTCAGCTAACAGCCCATCTGCTGATCTGCTGTAAGATACTGTCAGGAGGGTGAGATATAGCACATGGGATAGAAGAACCCAAGACTGAAGGAGGCTGTGATAATGTTCCAAGTGTGCTAAGAGGGTGGTGGGGTGTAGCAAGTCAATGTATCACCGTCACTCCTTTCAGGCACCCATAAATGGATGTCGTTGTGAGCCCCTGATAAATAAACTGGAGAATCAGCTGGAGGCAACAGTGGAAGAGATAAAAGCTGAGCTTGGGACAGTACAAGATAAAATGAATATTAAGCTGGGCCAGATGGAAAGCAAAACTCAGCATCAGGTAAGAACGTGACCTGAAGTTCTGCTTTTCTATATGATTTAGAAACATATCTTAAACTTAAATATTTTCATAGTAATGATTAATTTTTTGCTTCTTGTGTTGTAAAAGCAAACCTGAACTCTAATACTTAAGTCCAGGGAACTGTGACATTCCACTGGGAACTGATGTTGCAAACTAGGGTCTTGAGAAAAAACACATTTAATGTGTTAAGGGGCTTCTGATGCTTCTTTGGACAATGAATCTTAAAGGCTTGAGCCATTAAGAGGGAAAGAAGCCTGGTCCATGACTGGTCATTTCATAATTGTAAAAATCCCTCTTGCTGAATTAGTATGCATTGAGATTCAAGATCCTCTAAATTGCTTTTTAATTTAATAGTTATTCATTGGTAATTTTGTGATTGAGCCTCTTTGCAAGCTACATCTAATTGTAGTTGGCAGCATTTCTAGAAATGAAGACTGAAAGACAGACTGTAGTTTGATTTATAGGGTTCACAGATGGGAGTTTGGTTTCTAACACGATGATCTCAGCTGAGCAGTGTTTTCCCTACAGCTCCGAGTTTTGGACAAGCTGATGGCCGAGCGGCTGTCGGCAGAGAGGACAGAGTGCCTTCACCGCCTGCAGCAGCACACGGAGCTGGAAAAGAGCGAGGGGGAGAAGCGGCAGGTAGGGCTTGAGACAGCTACTCCCTCTTGGGTAGGCAGGTCAGCTCCCTCCCCTGGTAGGTCAGCTCAGGAGTTTCATTCCAGCAGGCAGAAAATATCAGAGATGTGTCACATCTATTAAAACAGGTAAAAGAGCTTCAAAGACCAAATTATTCCTACCCACCATCTTAGTCACTAAACCAAATTTATGATGTTTTTGCAATAGAAATGAGGAAATCCAGTCCCACTACTGTAATTTAATTGGGTGCATTTCTAGTGTGGGATGTACAACAAAATACCATTTTTCTAACATAGTGATTTGCAAAAATTCCCAGCACTAATTTTTTCACAGTTGTGCTTTCAGCTTTTGCTTATTAGAGGACATATGCAGGAACATATCCAAATAGTAAAAAAGGCTAAGTAAGATCTCTGTTGTTCCTTTGGTTGTGGGCCTTGGGAATCCCTCCCTTCTTATCTATCTGACCTGTTTCCCCAAATCATGTATTAAAAGGCTGAAGTTCTTTCCTCTGATGTTAGCAACATGGCAGCATCTCCAAGCTGTGTATTACTGCCAATAGGAAGGTTCTTTTTTGTATGCTTGTTCAACCAGCTGTACAAAAACAACTGTTCCTGTAGAGATCCAGCTCTTGCCCTTTCAGCTTCTGCAAAAACTCACCATGTAAAACCTGCTGAGAAATTTGTGTTTCTCCACTCACACAGGTGAATTTAAAATACAGTTTGTTTTCTCGTTATTGGTATTCTTCCAAGAATTGAGAAATACACTTTGTGCTTGGAAAATATCATGAGTGTTTGTAAGGCCATTCCAAATCCACGTAAAAAGACTGACAGCTGTGATAATCTTTGGATAGGACACTGATCAAGATACTTGGGTCTAACATTCACCAAACACTCTTCTCCAAAGAAAAGTACTTGCCAAACTAAGGCAGCTTTAATTTTTATTTTATAAGAGACGTAAGTATTGTATCGGCTTCTGAACATGTAGGCTTGTACTCCATCTCCTTGTAATCTCCATTTAAGACACAAGATGCTGGAATGATACATCCCTGAACTGAATTAAGTGATGTCAGCTGTTTCTGCTCAGTTGGGTCTAATTGAAACATCTGAAAAAAACAGAATTGGGCTTTACTAACTAAGCATCCTTGTGCCTAGGAGGGCCTGACCTAAATTCGTGATGTCATATGAACAACAAGGTGAAAAGAGCTACTCCTATTTTAAATTATTTAATGCATCTGCAGCTGACACTTACTAAGCATCTGTGTAATCTGAAAGTTGTTACTGATTTATCATTTAGTTGTGGGCTCACCTTTATGACTGAATGAACAGAGAAGCAGAGGTTGGTAATTGTTTATAGCTGTCCCCTAGAAGTGTCTAATTTGAATTTCATTCTTAAAAAATGACCATGTGGTGTTCCTTGCACTTAGAAAGTACCATTGACTGTATGATTAAACAAGTCATCCCTGATAAGAGTACTCAGAGTTGAATTGGAAGTAGCATATTCATATCTAAGAGGTGGTAGCTTGGACTAAAGAGACTGCCTTTCATAAGCTAATGCATAGTTCTCAACCTTTTTTGATCTGCAGTCCTTTAAATATTCCCAGTGGCAGCATGCACATCTGAACAGGGAGTCTAAGCCTACAGACACCCAGCTTGCTTCTCTTTGTCTCTGCCACCTGTCCTCAGCAGCCCAGGAACCATAGGATCTCATCATAGGATTATGTAATTTACAGTCTCTTTCTGATAGATTTCCTTGGTTGATGAGCTGAAGACCTGGTGCTTGTTGAAGATTCAGAATCTGGAGCTCAAGCTTTCTGGAGATTCCAGGTCATCAAGACCAAAATCAACTTTGTCCACTTGTGAGTCTCTCACTGAGACCCTGGATACTGACAACAACCCCAACAGTGCCAAGGACTGTAAAGTCAACCAGCCTGTGCTGCAGTCAGAGGGCTCCCACCAGCATTCCTATATCACACTTCCAAATAGCCTCTTGGAAGATGGGGGAAGGAGCAGAGTCCAGATGCCAGAACAAAGCTTTGGGCAACACTTTTGCATTAAACAAGATGGAGCATTGGGTACAACCATGTCAGGTACTTAGCTGTCATATCCCTTCAAGGGTGAGTTCATTAACTGAGGGGCACTTGTGTTATTAATACTACATAATTCTGGTGGTGTGCTTCCCCCCTCCATATGCCTGATGTCTTGGGATTTGAATACACTTCGAGGCAGCCACTGGGAATATTTTAAGAGGTGGCTGGGTGGAATTCCACTGGCTGTTCCTGATGCTTCTGTTATGTCTTTGAAGCAAAAGTCCTTTGGTGCTTTGAATAACTCTTGGCCCTGGAAGCTTTTGAAGAAAAAAAAAGAAATATGCAGAACGGCCAGGTGTCCACAGCCAAGTAGAATGCTATCTGAGCCCTGGCTTCTGTAAAATACAATTGTAACATACAATTCTATATGTCCCATCAACACTGAGCATCAACAGGCATGGTGCCCCATCAAATAGAAAGGCATATAAGAGATCTTGTGGTGCTTGAATGTGAGCTATTCGGTAGTTCAAAACCAGAGAAATGTGTGACCTTTCCAAAATTACTGGGACTTCAAGTTTTGTAGAAGCAGGGAGTTCATAAATATCAGCAGACATAACCTACTTTGGAAATCTAGACTGACAGTTGTTACATGTCCTTCTGATGAAGTCACAGAATGGTTTAGATTGGAAGGGACCCTAAAGATCATCTTGTTCCAACCCCCCTGCCATGGGTAGAGACACTTTCCACTGTACCAGGTTGCTCAGAGCCACATCCAGCCTGGCCTTGCACACTTCTGAGGATGGGGCAACCACTGCTTCTCTGGGTAACCTGTGCCAGTGACTCACAGTGAAGAATTTTTGGCTAATATCTATGTCCTTTGCCTGCTGTACATCTCTAGCCCCACAGCTGCAATGCAGCACCTCTCTGCCTGGGCCAGCTTTTCTCCTTTAATGACTTTCTATTACATCACGTGACTGTGAAGATGTGATAAGCTACTATAAGCCTGTACAAGGTACACACAAAACCCCATCATTCATCAGACAATGAGGTCTTCTGAGTGCTAAAATAAATGGCCAAAGCTTTTCTTAATATATTGTTTATAATTTGTTCTATAGGTACAGAGCAACAGGTAGTGGCTGGTGGACCAGTTTCTTCTTCTGCCCCTGCTCAAGATGTCAGGCCAAAGGACAAAGCTGTGAGTGCCAGCACATTCCACAGGTTCCAGCAGGAGCTGCCCTCCTCCGAGCTTTCAGGCTCCAAACTAAGACACGTTAAAGTTCAAGCTGCTTTGCAGCCAGTGACTGAACCTGCAAAGACTGAAGCACAGAGCGGCTACTTCATTGACAAAGGAACTCAGACGAAAAAGTCCAGCAAAAGTGGGCAGTCGAGGCACAAAGCTCTGCACCACGCCGGGGCACAGCAGGGCCAGGAGCAGCAGCCCTCGGCCCCGCCTGCCCCTCCGCTCAGAGACACCTCCCAGGCCCTGGAGATAACCCAGTACTTCTTCGAGGCCGTTTCCACGCAGATGGAGAAGTGGTACGAGCGGAAGATAGAAGAAGCCCGGTGCCAAGCGAACCAGAGGGCGCAGCAGGACAAAGCTGCGCTCAAGGAGCACATCAAATGCTTAGAGGAGGAGCTGAGCAAATTAAGGACTAAGGTGCAGAAAGAGAGCTAGCACCTGCCAGGCAGGTAATCAAACAACAGGACTCATTTGGGAGCCTGCTGTATGGGAATTTGGAATATTGATAGATATTTGTAGTGCCTGTTTCATCCAAACACAACACTCTATTTCAGGAGTAGAAATAACTTTGGAAACTCCATAACTGAGGAGAGTTCATATGCAAACTATATTGATAACAAAGAGATGCTGCAGATTAGATCCTTTCTTTGTTATTTCCAAGAGTCTGTCAATATTGCACTCTCATTTCCAGATGCTGCTTGAAACCAAACTGCATTAGCAACCAAAACTGCTTTCTGAAAAGGGAATTCCCTTACTTCCACACAGGACACAGACTAGAGGGTTCTACTGTATGCCTACATGTAAACCTGTTGTGTTACCAGTATTGAAATAAATCCAGGGTGTTTGAAGGTTTTTGACAGAATTACTGTGATGAAGGGCTATTGATCCTAATTTAGATACTCCCAGGGCCTCTCTCTAGTCAGTGGAGAGAAGCTACAGAACCCACTCCAGGTACAAGCCCAGGGAGCTGACAGATGCAGGCTTCCAGCTGGGAGAGGGCAGGCAACTGTGGAGGGAGATGTTAAGGCGAATCATCCCATTAGGTACAGAAGCTTCAGCTACCACTTTGCTTTTCTCTTGGTTTTCCATTATTAAAACAAGTGCTAAATCTAATTTGTCTTTTTTTTTAAATGGTGTCCTGCTTGCAGAGCTCCTTGTGATTACACTATTGTTGGGGCTCTACTCCAGTAATTTGACTGAGAACTTTTGTTTAGGGCATAGATGACAAGTATTTTACTGTAACCATGGTCTGTTTTTTAGGTTGAATGTTTATATAAATCTTTTTTCCGTCAAGCAGTAAATGGCTAAATTGCCTACTATTGAAGAAACTTAAAAAACTCCTTTATCCTTTATCAAAGTGAAAACTTGGCTTCCTGTATTCAAATTTTATTTTTCTGCAGTCAGAATTTTTTTCCAGGCACCTTGCCCAGACTGTCTACCTTTTTTCCTCTGAATGATTCCTCCTGTTTTTTCCCTTCTGTCTCTAAAAAGGAGACCCTGATGAGTCTACAGGTTTTAGGACAAATGGTCCCACAAACCAGCACTCAACATTTTAGAAGTTTTGTCATTGTGTTTTGTTATAAAATCAGAACTTTCATTGACCAATGCTGTCCACGTTGACAGACTCCAAGTAATCTCAATGCACTGTAACTATTGCATCTGCATCCCTTTAGGGTTTCCTCCTTACACATCTGAGAAGGCTCCATCAGATTTTGCTAGAAATAGAAGTTTACTTACTTACCAGATCATGACAGAACAACTGCTCAAAATCAATTTCAACACAAGATGGTACTGTTATGCCAAGGAGAAAAATACTTTTTTTCTGTACTAAGGAGCTCTAAAATCAATACAAAGTACTTTACAGTGTTGAAGAATGCCATTCACTAATTAGTTATTAAGCTTTTGTCTTCTTAGCAGATGTATAAAGCAAAAAAAGTCATATTATATAACAATATTTTTAAAGTTCCTCTTAACGCACTATCACAAGAAGAGAAGTGTATCTGTGGCTATGGAAATACTAGTTTTCTTGCTCTGACTTCTGTAGTCTAATATAGACACTTTGGTATGTTTACAGTTTTGTTTAAGCTACAGTAGGAATGCAGAAGCATGCTATTGAAGTTTTGTATCACCTGGATGAAGTTAATGTTTTGCCCAGCAATTAAAAGTAAGTGTTGCTCAGAAGTGTGTGGTGTAACATTTTCTAGCCACAGAAAACTGACACAGCCCCCTCCTCACTTGACTCTGAAGGGGGAGCAGAAGATTGGACTTCAACTTGTAAGCTTTTTGTTTGTGGTTATGAAACACAAAAGTGGAGTCTGCCATCTGTGCAGAGGGAGGCTGCAGGGACTGAGTGCTGCCTGTTGGCTGGGGCAGGTGCCCCTTTCAGAAGTTACAGGCACAGGGCTGAGCTGTGCACAGATCACACACGCGCTCCTGAGCTTGCCCAGGCTCAAGGGAGAGGCTGTGGCTTTAGCTCTATTTCCCATAGAGACCACACTCATAAGACCAAGCAATTCAAGTAAATCCAAGTAATTACCAAGTCATCTAAGGCAGTAACCAGGCTGCAGGTTACTGATTTTAGAGATTCTCTAAAGCCAATGAGTGTACAGTAAGAGAAGCATTTTCTGCTAATTCCTTTCCATACCCCTCCCTTCTTCAAAACTGTGAAGGACTTTATAGAACAGGTGTGATCTACCTACCTCTCTCTTCAGGTAAATTTACTTACCCTCACAGGCTGTACTTGGACTCTTTAAGTCCAAGGCAGTCCAGTCCAGGATGGCAATTTTATACTTGGCAAGCCCACAGAGCAGTGGAGATGAAGGGCAGGAGCATTCAAGAGGTCAGCATCTGTCCAGGGCCCTGGCTGTCAGTCCTAGCTCTGGATTACATGCCCACAACCTGGAAATGTACAAACTGGGAGTCAAAGGGGTAATGCAGGCTCCAGGCTCCGAAAGGAAAGGCATGGTGAGGCAACAGGGTAAAGCCTGCTGATTAAGGAACAGAAATCCAAGCACTGGCTGAAGGGGAATGGAAGCCTGCTGTGGTAACAGCCAACACTGGTTATGGCTGTTCAGTCAAAATACCATTGTAAGCAGCACTTTCTCTTGACATGAAAAGTAAATCCCCAACACAAAAATGTTCTGGCAGTCTGTTCTACCAGAAAATGTTAATAAAATCTAAATTTTTAATGAAGCATTTTTAGATACGTATTTTTCTCTGTCTGATTGAAGCTCAGAGGCTTTATACAGATCTGAACCACAGCTCCTGCTCTCAACTGGGGTCATTCCTCCTGTAGCCTGGAATTCTGTCCTGTCCCTTCCCTGGTGCCAGTGGTGATACCTGTTTACCAGATTTGCTGCCAGTTTGTGCAGCTTAGCAACTCTGCAGAAACCCACCTTGAAACAGGGGCGCTCCCCGCAAGGGAATTACAACAGCAGAATGGAAGAGGGAAGAGATCCTGCTTGTCTTGGAATCACAAATTAGAACAGTCAGACATTGATCTACTTCTGCCCCTCTAGTTATGTGGAGAAAATCCCCAGCTCATGCAGGCATTTTTAAATTATACAGAAAAAAAAGGATACACCACAGCTCAAGGAAAGTGAGACCAGCTGCAAGCTAACAATTAGAAGTAGTATAACATTTGAATAAACAAACCACAACTTTTGCAGTTAGCATTTTCTACGTGTAGTTTTTCTTTATATATTGACTCTTAAATACTAGTTTGAAGGCACCCCGTAATAAACATCTCTGGGGCTAAAATCTCCCATTTTCAGGAATAAAGACCTCTCCTTTTAAGTTTTATTCAGCTACTACTGAAAACCAACATCTACACACAAAACATTCTTTTAATGTTTGTTTGTTCTGGGCCAATTTATCCCAAATTCTTTTTTTAATCACAAATTTTGGTGAAAATCCTTGGTACAGTATGTGAGCAGTTGTCACTGTGAATATTACCAATTACAGCTACCACAGTAAAAAGCAGACAAAATAATCTGGCATATATTTATTTTCCATTGCACTGGCATTAACACATGTATTTAACTGTAATTTTTGCAGCTTGCTGCTTTTCCTGCAGCACATGTTACATCATCCATGCAGTTCTTTAATGTCCTTTGTGTCCAAGTGATTTCCACTTCTTAGGGTAGCAAAACTGAGAAATGGATGGGGAAGGGGAAAAAACAAAACCCCCACTGTGATAGATTCCTCTTCCAAACGTTACCAGGTTGCCAGCAAAGGCTGCCAATGTAACCACATTGTAGAAAAAACACTCTGCCTGTTTGCAACAGATAAAAATTAAACTGTCAGCAAAATGAAGATCAGGATTTTGCCAGCTTAAGTGTTCTCTGAAGTTCCTGAAGTTGCATGTTGCCTTGAGTAATCATCATCCTGATTGCATCCTGTAAAACAGAATGGAATCTAGTGAACTGTACATCCGTACACAGCACGGGTTTTACACAAGCATGCAGACTTTTAATGCATTAAAATATCTTCAATAACATACAGTTCTTACTGGCACTACTGTCATTTACTTCTTTATGTGACATAACACTGCTGTCTCTGAGACACTTAAAAAACAGGTAAATAAATTGATTGATTTTCTCCAGTTCCTTAACAATGTACTTGGTTATGGCTTTGCTTTAAAACTCGGTTTTTAAGAGGATTCAAACCCCTAATAATGTTTTCTTTGTGCCAGCGTGTGTGCTGCCTTTGCAAGCCGGTAGTGAGACTAGCACACAAGCATTATGGAGATGGGTTTTACACATCAGTGCAGGTTTCTCTCAGCATTATCTAAGGGCTCTAAGGCTTTGTCTGCACAACTCAGACACCAGTTCCTGGCGCGCTGGCTAGACCAGGGAATGAACTAGGAAGCAGAAGACAGCAGATGTACAAGAAATGTGAAGGTTTCTGCATTTCACACTTGCTTCACACCCTTAACCATCCCAGTTGATTGTATTCTGCTTGAATATAGGTGAAACTAAAGTTAAAAAAAAAAAAAAAGCTATAAAAAGCTTAACCATTACTAAGTTTATGTCAGTTACCATATATATACAGTTTTCTTGATCTGTGGTTTGAGTAAGTAGAGTATTTGTTGTTCAAGTTTTTAATTTCAGATTATTCTCTGGAAATTTGAGAAAATTATTACTGCTAAGAGGGGGGACAATATTTAGACATGCAGGATTATTTCTTTGCATAAATGAGGAAATAGTAACAGGGGACTTTCACCAGTCTGGAAGCGACACCTACAAAACGAAGCCCCAAGACACAGGACAGGCCAGTGCAGTGACCATGGCCGAGGCGATCAGAGTTGCGGGTTCGCAATCCTCACCTCTTCTGTAGCATCCTTGTTTCTCTTGAATTCCTCCCTGGCCCAGTCCTTTAAGTAGCGGCGATCCTGCTCAGCAGGGACCTCCCGGATAGCCCGCAGGATCTTGCGGTACAACTGAAGGACCTGCTGCCGCCTCAGGAACTGGCAAGGAGAGAGGGAAGTCTGCCCCCCGCCCCAGGACGGTGCTGCGAGCTGCGCCCTCGGCCCTTTGCTTCGAGAGGCATTAAAACAAACCCCACCGTCTGTACAGGACGCAGCTCGCCCGAGCCCCCGTGCCCCGTACCTGCTTGAGGGTGAGCGCGCCCGGCGGGAGCCTCCCGGCCGCCATGACGCGGCTCCGCCCCTGCCCCGCCACGGGGCCGCCGGGCCCGCCCCGCGCGGGCGGGGCCAAGGCCGCCATGTCCGGCGCCATGGCGGCTTCAGGGCCGCGGCACGGCCGCTCGGCCTGCTTCAGCTCTGATCAATTCAAGGCGCAGACGTCGTAATTACAAAGAGTGGTACCTCTCTTTATTAGTACAGACGATACAAGATGCATAGCCTTCTCAATGAAAAATCACGTCCGTGCTCCAAGACGCCGGATTTATGAAACATCCCCAACGCCTGCCTCGGACAGGGGCAAACTTCACAGTGTAAAGTGGTAATGCAGGGGTCAGAATATGGCGTGATTCAGAACACTCCCTGCTGCTATCGTCAGGCAAAAATCGGCAATAATTAAAAAGGACGTGTTAAAACCGCAGAATAGTTTCAAGTATTCAAGTACTTTTTTTTTTTGGTTGATTAAAACCATCTGGCTCCCCCTGCTCCCCACTCCTTCCTTCCCAGAGGCACCTCCACACGGGTGATGCTGAAAAAGGCTTTATTTGTGAGACACCTCAACTTCTAATGCAGAAAAGCCTTCCCAGGAACAAGACCGGTTTTACTTATGGCAGGGAGGGAGCAGCAGGAATAGTATTACCTCTGTTAATATTACAATTTTTTTTAAAGGTAATAAATTATTACTAGAGAATTTAAGACAAGTTTTACGTTTCTTGTGGGAATAGCAGGACGCAGTCTCACCATTGCATAATTGTCCTGTGACACAGGTGGGAGGATGCCCCCAAACCATTCTGTTCTTACAGTCTCTGCCCCAGGGCAGCTCCCGCAGGATAATTAATCCCAGTTAGGAAGAGCTTCATGACCCCTCCCATGAAATGCAGCTTCTTGTATTTCAGCAGTTCAGCAGCAGCAATCGGGTCCTGACCTTGTCTACAAAGTCTAAAGAGTGTCGGAGGCAGTCACCAGCTCAAACCATTGTCTGAGGGCATCGCTCAGAGTTTCTGGGAGCGCGTTCACATCTCTAAGGATCATGTAGAACGGGAATGGGAATTCTTCCATGTAAGACCTGATTTCAGGCAATTCTCCAGGTGCTTTGAATATAGGTACTTTAATGTCCAAAATAGAATCCTGTAAAAAAAGTACTGATGTTACTACTAAATGATGCACATATTCCATGATCACTGATAGAATTTACCCTATTTTCTAAGTACTTATAATTCTCCCCCTTAGATTAAAAGTTAATAAAATACTTTTAAGATTAAAAGCTCTAAGTGTTCAATGGTAAATCAGATCAGAAGCTGAACATAAATCAGTTAAATTCTTTTGCCCTTTTAGATAAAAGTGTACTAATCCATGAATTATAGGCTGGAGGGGACTAAGCTTAAGCTTCTGCAATACCAAATTCTGTAACTAAATTCTGGCTTTTCTTAGCATTTTATGAGTTGAGTTTACTGTTGGCACTTTAGCTTTATTAATCTGATGTCTTCCCGAGAGAGTCTGTAAGCTCTTTAGTGCTGAGTTCAACTCGTATTTGTGCAGTGCTCTAACAGAAGATTCTTTAGCAACTTCTTAGTATTTCAACAAATACTACAAAGACAAAAATCAAATTAAACTCCAGCTGTGCTTCTTGTAAAATAACTTCTTAGTTGCTCAGTGTTGCTTAGTTGCTCAGCTCAGAAATTAATAAAGGTTATGGAAAACATATTTTTTCCCCAGAAAAAAATGCTTGTGAAAGACACCCAGAATTTTCCCTTGATACTGCAGCCAGGTTTCATCAGAACCTTTCAGCTGTTTGTCAGCAGGAGAACTGTTAGTGTTTCCACACTAAATACAGCAGATGAGTTTTGTATGCAAAAATAAAGATACAGGAAGAAAACACGAACCACAAAATTAGTCTTTACCACATCATTCTCTGTCAGGCTTGTGTGCTTGCTTACTGCACTACAGAGCCTTCCTAAAACACTCCCAGGTATTTCAGCTTCCCATCCAAGGATA